TTTGCTGCACTAGATGGTTTAGAGAACAAAATGGAACAGACCTCTACTCTAAACTCAGTACTTATGTTCTGACTTGTAACCACCTGTTGGTTTCACTTCACTGTGTTTGACATGAAGTGTTTTGCAGAATTTTTTGCTCCTATCACAGTAACACAGATAAAAGCCCCACTGCCAGTTGTCCATCTGCGTTTTGCCACAGAAAGCTGATTGCTATTTTTGGTGATAGATTTGCAGCCTCCCCTTCTCTGCGTATTTTCCCATCTGCCCCTGACTCTCGTCTCGTTCTCCCTGCAGATGATCCCCCTCCCCCTCTCCAGAATCAGAGTGGGAGATCCCGTCTTTCTCTCTATCTTTGTCCAGTGACCCCCCCCCCAGCACCCTGCCCTCCCACTCCGCTGCTCTCTCACTTCTCTACATCTGCTCTGTCTGCTTGACAACTTTGCCATCTCTGTGTTTGGCTGTAAGTTTCCGACCACTTTCCCTGCACTTTCTCTCAGATCTTAATCTCATCTGTCCTGTTTGTTCCAAGTGTGGCTGAAGTGTCGCTTGCAGTGGGAGGAGAGTTGTAAAATGACGAGTAATGTTGTTATGGTGTCATGAATGTCAGGTATGTCCAACTGTTTCCAATTAGTCAGGAGGGTGTTGTTGAACTTGTCCAACACCACCCCCTTGTGGCAATTAAGGGTGTTGCGAGCAGTTCAATCAAAAAGTCTTTTTTTTTTTTTTTGACCAGGCCAGTAAAAAATAAATATTCCTAAATTATAAATTCTCCTCTTTTTTTTTTAAATAGAAATGATACATTTATTTTTTTTGGAATTTTATATATTTATTTGCAATTCAATAAATGTATTATTATTTATGATTCTCTGGAGTGGCCAGCATTTTTCGGGAGGAGGGTACCACTGCTCTGATGCTTTTCAGTAAAACTTAATGCAGCATATAAAACAAAGTCAGACAAATGGCTACCAGCAGGAAAATTTACATTGTAGTAATATTTAACCTATTTTTTCATATTAGTTTTAATATTGGATTCTGCCTTCTGTCCCAAAGGTGTGTAATGATGTCCGTAGTGACATTGAGAGCAGCTCTGAAGAGGAAGAAGCTGAAGGCCTGAAGGCCTCCACTCACAAGCCGAAGGGAGAAAACGGCACCAACGGCCATTGTGCTGCAGCCAGAGCCCGGACTCAGAACCACAGCAGCTGGTGACGAGGGGCCGACAGCCTCCAAAGAGCTATATGTCTGCCTGTCCTGCGAGGCTCTCCCACTTTATTTTAACACTGACAGCGCACAGATTTGTGAATCGGTGGATGGATGGATGTGCAGACACTGACAGCGTTGTGCGGAAATTGAATCATGTGATTTGCGTAGCCTTATTTTTCCAGGCGGTGGGCTTGACTACAGAGATTGGTTAGTTTCAATGTTCTCTCCCAGTTTTATTGGTCAGAGGAACTTAGTTATTTTTATCCTGAAGGGTTTATTCACAACAGTTTGCACGGAACCACCATTCCGCAGCAGGTACCACTCCAATAAATGAACATGTGTTACAGCTGGACTTATCAAGTCTGAAAAACAGAAAACCTGCTGAATGAGTAGCAGGAAGTTGACAGTTCTGCAAAATGATGTGAACTTTCTTTTCAACAATGTCTGGCTTCTTTGTAACTATTTTAACTACTTCTTCCAAGACCAATTGTGTATGAGATTTTGACATCCTGTAAATCCAGGTATGTGAACCATGAAAAGGATGACTTGAGTGCTTTGTAAAAATGTATTTTCAAATATATTCTGTTTGATGATATCTCTTTTGAACTGTGATAAATTGTCACACTTTTATTTAAGGCATTTTTATACAATACAAACTTGAAATTATGCTCTGCAGATGTGACAAATGCCAAACATATTCTTCACCATTGTTTGGTTAAGTTTTATACAACAAAAGAAAAACTAGATCTGTGTGAGAATAGATGAACATTCGGGGAGGAATCCTTCTCTTCACCATTGCGGCGGATTAGAGGAATGGGAAACGTCCAGTAGGATTTACAGTGCAGTCCAGGCAACGTCAGTCTTTGATGATTTCAGTGTCCTGGTTCTCTGCAGCCAGTTTCAGCCGTTTCTGCTTCTCCCAGTACCGGTATCCTCGCATCACACACAGGTAGCCTCCATACGCCGTCAGCAGCATCATTGAGGTAGAAAAAGCACGATAACCGATATCAGCCAGACGCTTTGCCGTCACCATGATGATGATCCTGAAAGACAGGAGCAGGTTCAGCAACTGGGTTTAATTCAACTGGTGAGTTTAGAGGCTGAAGTTTGGACATTTAAGATAATGATAAGTATTTTTTATGTGGAAACATTTGTTTTATGAAAGTACACAACTTAGACTGAAAAGTAAAGAAAAATCAGTCATCTGTCAATAAAGATGACAAATTGATAAGTGGACTAGTTGGAGGCAAAAAGCTTAGAACTGCTTAAATACCTGTAACTATACAAATAATCTCAAAATATTGCAACCCCTCCAAAACAGAAAGTACTTTATTCCAGTAATTAAACTATGATATTTTATCATATTGTGCAACATACAGAAATTAAAGTATAACAATTAATCTGAACATTTTCAAGTCTAATTTGTTAATTTAGTAGGATCCCCCTTCGTTTCCAAAGTATTTACTACTAATCTTCCTTGGTTCCAACTGATAAAAATATTCATACAAGACATAAGCAGAGGCTGGTAGAACACCCCAAAAATGTACTCATATAATAGCAGTGATGCTTCAACTTCTTTTTACTCATGTTGATGGCTAAACATTAGCCATCAAAAGATTACTCAAGAGTAAATACGGATTTGGAAAATGTCTACTGAAGTATCTGATCAAATTATGGATATAAAACCATTTCAACATTCCCATACACTTCAAAAAAATGATCTGAAACATTTTCTATATACACAACATAATTTCAAACATTGATCACAAACCTGTGATGCGTTTTAGGCCTTATAGTTCGTCTCATAAAAAATTCTGCGTTGTTTTTGTTCAGTGTATACTATGTACAAAGATAATCAGACATATTTAGCAAATTACACACAAAATTAGATTTAAAAAATAAGATTTCAGTGCTCTTTTAAATGAAAGTGTGCTTCATGAAATCTCATGTTTTTAACTATTCCATTCACGTTACACCCAACTGAAAAGCGTTTTAGAAATTAAATGACGTTTTTCTACATATATGTCGACTAAACCCCCCAAAAAGGTGTTTAATAGTGAAATTACACACAGATTATGGATCTGGGGACAGACGTATCCAAATCTAACATATTTACCCCTAAAGGCTCACAGCTCAAGACTGTTTGGGGTAAATGGATTAGAAAATATTTGTGTTTTCTTACCTTTTTTATCCAACAAACAGTAAACGCAACAAACGGCCGTTTCTTTGCTTCAATGTCAACAGAGAGAATCCAGATAACTAGCCGTCAGCTAGCTAACCTTCGTATTCCATAAGGTGTGGAAACTGGTGAATTTACTCTTGTCCTGAGTAAACTGTCAGAGAGCAGAGCGCCACCACCCGGTCAGGAGGCCATATTACACCACCCCTTGAACTATTTAACTCCCCACTTCTCTTCAGAAAGCGGTTCTGAAGCCCTCATTCAGCACTCGGGGGAGTTTTTAACATGACCTGGACGTCTGGTGCGGCATATCAAGATAAAACACATAGAGAAGTTATAATTTAAAATTTTCTGCTTGAAAAAAAAAAAGCAACAAGGCAGAGCTATCAAGTGCAATCCGGTTTTCAAAATAAAACCACGTCACTGGAATTTAAAATCTTAAACGCCCCTGAATTAAAATGTTAATATTGGATATACTACTTAAGAAAAGCCGTGCTTAAGTTTTTCTTAACTTTTTAGTGATGAAATTTTTTACAACTGAAAAATTGATGACAGAGCACGTTTGATCACACATAAAACATAAATTGCTAACATTAATATATATTTACAAGAAAAACTAGGCCGTCTGGAGGTCGTAAATAGTAATGACAAGTATGAAACGATCAATGTCAGTGACGTGCAGAGAGGTTCATGGCTGGTGAGACACTGACGTAAACAAAATCATAAAGCCCCCTGTACTTTATTGCATGTTATTGTTTACATACGGAAATTTCGCGCATGCGGGCAACATTGAAGAGTAAAAAGACTTTCACATGCCATCCATAGTCGTGCTGCCAAGGTAGAATAATTCCCTTAAGTCAATTAAATTTGGAAATATAAATATTATTAATTTATTGAGATGCTGCACAGAAAAGGGAAACCACCTTTTTCTCGCTCTCTGTATGAGCCAAGCTACGCTCGTTGTTGCTGTCTCTTACTCTGCAGTTGTGGAGTCACAATGTCTGGGATCATGAGCGCCCCCTGTCACGAGCCAGCAGAACTGCTCCCCAGCACGAAACACGTAACACGCACAGTTGGCGACAAAAGGCACTGTACATTATACAGATAAACTAAATGATGGAAAATCAGTTTTTATATTAAATGTGTTTTAGCCATTTTATTGGCGACGTACAGACAGGAGGAACATGCTCTCACAGAGTGACAGCCAGTGCAGGTAGAGAGAGGCTGATCAATCCCAGGTGAGGCTCAGCCTCTGACAGCACGTCACTGATTTATAGTGATATTGGAAAATGGGATTTAAAATAAAACATATATAATGGACATTTCAGTTTCTAAATAAAGCATCTTACATTTGAATTTGAGTTTTGATTCGAGTTTTTAAAAAAAGTGTTAAATAAAACTAACTCTATTAAGCATCAGATTTTAAAAATGTACGTGTCGTTTCGAGTGTTTTATACTTTTAAAAAGACACAGTATAAGTAAATATAGCAGTGAATATTTTAGCTACCGTTTTCTTTATTTCTCCAAATGGCCGCGCCCACAGCAGGCGTGAAAATAAGAGAAAATCCAGTGGAACCCATTTACGACATTTCCACCCGGACTCTTTTCTCAGGCACACACGTTACGATGGCAACATGTCCGGATCTTAAAGATCCTGACAATGCAGTGAACGACCCCGGCGCTGCTCCTTACGGGAACTTTATAAACTATTACAGCTTTAACCCTCCGGAGAACCGCTTGAGTCTCATCCCAGCGACGCTCCTGCGGGATTTAGGCTACAGGGACGGAGGGGACGAGCCCACGCTCATCCTGGACGTGGGATGTAACTCCGGGGTGCGAAAGTGACTCACTTCCTGTTTTTTTGTTCCTGAAATTATACGTGTGGTGCTATATTGGTGTCCTTAAAGTTCCTGTTTCTACTTTGCCACTTTAGTGTATCTATGTTAGTGTAAAGTTAGACTAGTTGAATGTATATTTTTAATTACATAGACCAATAACTAAAGCTGCAACCAGTGATTATTGTAGTTTTAGATTAAGTTTTCAATTATTCTGGTTATTAATCAATTAATCGAGCAAAAACTCATTCTGCGGATTTTTCATTTAAGCATATTCCATACAATATTAGATTACATAAAAAGGCACGTAAATAATCAGTTCTTTTATTAATAAGAAAACAAACATTTTGGTGCCTGAATGCAATACATTGCATTCATTTCCTTGAGTGAATGCTTGATTATTTGTGGTGCTTAATAGGAGATTTCTCTTTTGCAGAAAGAGCAGAAATAGAAATCTGCAACATATTTATTAAGTTTTTTGTTTAATCTTAAATGCAAAATGTAAATATTTTTGTACAATTTTCACTTTGAGTATTTTCTTTGAGGAAATTTTCTTTTTTTGTCTCCTCCAGTTAACAATTATTCAAACAGCATTGACTAAATTTTGTTCTATTTTTTTTCCCCCCATGTTGATATTCTAGAATTTCTTTTTTAAGTTTTGGATCTGTGATGATTTTCACATTCCTTTCCAACAACATATCTGACTACTTTGTTTAATTAAAACATTGCATTCTTTGTTTATTGTTGAATAGGTAAAATCATTTCTTCTTTTCTGACCCTCTATTTGTTTTGACTTCATGATTTTGGCCTATGTGGCAAATAGTTATGACACCGCTGGTGTAAACTAAATTTTAAGAAGAAAAGAAAACCTCCATTTGATGTTGTCTGAACAATAACTCATTTCCTCCTGCGTGAACACCAGGACCTGAGTGTGGCCGTCTACAAGCATCTTGTCCAGGAACCAGAGAAGAGCACAGTTCAGCTTCTGGGGTTTGACTTGGATGAAACACTTGTTGAGCGCGCAGAGCAGACCAACCCTCTCCACAGCAACATCTCCTTCATCCAGCTGGACATCACAGAGGAAACCAACCGGCTGCAAGACTTCCTCAAACAGCACAGCTGCTCCCACTTCCACCTGTGTCTGTGCCTGGCCGTCACCATGTGGGTCCATCTGAACCACGGAGACTCGGTCCTCCTGCAGCTGCTGTCTCGCCTCGCCGCCATCAGCAGCCACCTCCTGCTGGAGGCTCAGCCCTGGAAGTGTTACCGCTCTGCAGCTCGGCGCCTCAGGAAGCTGGGCCGCTCGGACTTTGATCACTTCAAGACCCTGAAGATCCGTGGCGATGTTGCAGAACACGCCACGGAGCATTTAGAGAGACACTGCGGCATGGAGCTCATGCAGAGCTTTGGCAGCACCGCATGGGACCGGAAGCTGCTGCTTTTTAGACGGAGATGAGTTTTATGGATTTTTTTATGGCTTTTAAAACCCCAGTTTGAGATGTAAACAAAACCAAGGTTAACAGTTCCCACCTTACGTGCAACAAATTATATGTAATTTAACAGGAAAAAAACAAAACAATATTATTGGGGAACAATGAAAACATGTGGTATAAGTGTACCATGTCATTTATGATGGGAGGAAGCAATGCAGAATTACTCACTACAATCACGTGACTCTGACTCCAAATAAATTTCTGCTGTTCTATTTTCTTCCAAACCCTTACACTGATTTTATTATTAAGAAGTATCTGCCAGAGGATATGAATAAATAATTTCAACAGTATAAGTTAAAAATAGAACACAGTAAAAACCTTTAAAAAAAAAAAAACATTTGGAAAATGTTTATTTCCAAAATACTTTGTTCATCCCAAGAATAAATTAAATGTAACCAGTTTCATTTAGGAGTTGTTGTGGTTGGTGATGCAGTGGGCAGGAAGGATCTCCTGTAGCAGTCAGTCTCATAAATATGAAGAAGCCCCTGACTGAAGACAAAATAACATTCTCTTTTTTTTTTTTAGAATGCCAGAGGGAAACTAAATATTGCAACTCATGAAATTGACTTCAGTCGCTGCAGATGTTGACAAAGAATGTCCTGTAGCAAACAGTGTTGCAGCGACTGAAGAATCCTCTGACTAAAAACAATCATGTATAATTTTCTAAACTTTATGAAATAAGAATATTTTCCAAAACAGAACCAGCCTTCTTATCCCATTGTTTAGTCTTAAGAAAAAAAAACTATCTTGATGCTGTTCTGCATAAAAGCATTTCAAATGATTTACTTTTATTAAAGACAAACACAGTTATTTTTCATCATTTTAATTACAGAATACTAAAAATAACATTACATAAAATGTCTTTTTAAAAGAAACCATTGAATATTACAAAGGTTGTAAATCTTGTAAAGTTAGGATATAAAATCTTTGAACTGTGGTGTATAATTGAAAAAGAAAAATAATTTTCATAAAATGTATATATTAACTGTTCTACTACATAAAAAAAAAAGAGATGGGGACACAAAATGCAGACAGACGAGATGAGTGGACACCGCCATTACTGCGGTGAGCTCTCCTTTCAAAGGAAGCAAAGACCAGAGATGCACAGCACAAACCACAACCAGCTCTAGTTCTCCAATTAAGCTCTTTCAAAGAAAAAAAGGAAAGGGGAAACAATTTACAACACAACTGAGCTTGAAAGACGGCAAAAAAAGTGACTTGGTGACTGCTCCCATTATTCACACACGTCTCGACTAAACTGGCCTTGGTTCCATTAAAATACTTTTTTTTCCTCCTTTAAAGGTTCACACTGTACAGAAAAAAAACAGAACAATCATCCCAATGAAGCAAGGGAATCTGATCAGGCATCTTTCAAGCTCTTTACACAACCAACACTATTTTCTACTGTACAACCCACCAAGCAGATTCAAAAGCAATCATGACATCAACAGTAAAGGAAGTGAGAGACGCTACATGAGGGGAAACATGCATTATTCAACAGTGTGCTTTCTTTCTTGCTCTTCTATGGCGTCACGTCATTGTCAGCCCTTGTTTTATTTCAGAAAATGTAAGAAAAATGGACATTCAGAACCTGTTTCCCCCCTTTGTGTTGGAGAAAAGCTGAGGGGAGGGTTTGCTCTTCCAAAACATGTTTCAAAGTTTCAAGATATGGTTTTAAATCCTGCTTTTCCTGTGAAGCAGTTAGTGGTTTCTGTGAGAGAACGTGATATGAGAAGAAGGGAACAGATGACCAAACAATAAAAAAATAAAAAACGGACATCTGAGACACGCTTTAGGAGGAGGAGAGGCAAGTTACCAGCAGAGCTACTTGTTTTGGCTGGTCTGCTGCTCAGAGGTTCCAGCTGTAAGCTTCATAATGCTGTTCAGGTTCAGAAAAGTCCCCCTGAGTTAGTGCACAGAGTCAGGCGGCCCGAGGCCCACCAGTTTAGAAACCCACATAAAGAAGAGTTGAGAAAAAAAGGTATTTTGAATCAGACCAAGCTTAGAAATCGCTTTGGAGAAGGTAAGCCTGACTCGAGTTTGCGGTGGATGTTAGTGTGGAGAACGGTCAGGCTTAGCCACCCGAGTCCAGTTGTTTCTCCAAAAGCTCTGAGAAGTAGGCTTGTTTTTTTTTAATTTAATTTTTTTTTTTTTATAGCTGTGCGCTTCGTTTTGCCCAAACAGAAGGCGGGCTTGAGCCATCCCTTCGAGTTCTGATCCAAACATCGGTCCTGATTCAGGAAGTGGTCAGTTCTGCCCAACAGGCCAGTGGCTTGGGACCCGGTCGGGTGCTGGTGTAGTACGTTACGCCGGCTGTGCGTCGGTCGGTCGGTCAGGCAGACAGGTAAGACAGGCAGATGGGCTGCAACGTGGCGGGGAAAGGGGCGGGGTTAGATCAATGGAGCCGTGTCCATCAGGCCTTTGTTTGGGTCCAGGCTGGCAAAGAACCGGACGTCCCGGTCCTTATCGGACTGCAGAGCCATAACGGTTTCTTCCAACTTTTCCAAGTAGGGACAGCCTGGTTCCTTAAAGTAAGCTGAACACAAAAACACTCAGTTAGTAGGAAGAAAAGCTGTAAGGGTGATCTGTTACGCTTCCTTGAACAGGTTAGCATCTGTCTATGTGCGATACAAAATATTCTTAATCATGAGATTTTAGTCTGGTCACTGCTTTAGCGCCTCCTGTCACTTTAAATCCAAATAAGCTGCCGCCTGCCACAACGCAACATTTACACTTGAATGAGAAAGCAACTGCAAACAGACATGCAATTATATTAACATACATCTGTGAAAAGCATTAGTAGAGACTCCTGCACAATCAACAAGAATTCAATCAGTGGGTTGTGGATGGTTGGCCAACAACAAAATATTTTACTTTTCTAGCAGCCATTCGCTGTGTTCTTATCACCACATAATTGTGCAATTTGATATTTTGAAAATAAATGTACTTAATGGAGATACGGAAATTTAGAAAATAAAAATCTTGTTTTTTGATTAAAATAAAACAAAAAAAAAGCAGTTTTGTTGCTAGGTTGAAATGACTTAATTTTGTAGCCATATCAAAATTAAGTCATTGATCAAAAAAATTTAAAAAAATTACATGTTGTAACTGATTAAAAATTCTTTTGAATTGGCTTATTTTGCTAAATTATGTTGAAAACACTTTTCGCATCTCATGATTAACAACCGCGCCAGAAAATCACAAGAAAGAAGACAGGAAGTAGTTGGGTTATCGCGGCGTGGCATGTTTTTTAATGATGGGAACAAACTTATTCGTGTGTGATTTTAATTGTTTTTTTATTTAAGGGCAACACAGAAATTGTGGGATTTTTTTCAATCATTTGTGGAATATGAGAAAGTTTTGCTGGAGAACCATTTGGGTTGCAGAGCAGCGACTCAATAATTGGAAGGTTTTTGAAATGGCTAATTTTCCAGACGCCAAATAACAAATTAGTTGCCAAAAAATGGCAGAGTCTTTGTTTATACCTCAAATGGAGGTGTAAAATGTGCAGAAAGTGAATTTTTAAACAATAAGTTTGAAGTTACCCTTTAAACTTATTGTTTGTCGAATCATTGAGCTCATCTTCAAGTTACCTTTCTCCATGATGCTCTGCCGTAAAGCCTTGGCCACCAGAACGCGGACGTTGGCCACCGGGTCGGCAGAGAGGCTCAGTAGGCTGGGCAGGAGGTGCTGGCTGAACTGGTCCATGGGCATGCAGTCCTCCTCCACAATGGCCTTCAGCAAAAACACATAAACACTCAGACTGAGCTGCAACCAGCACGCAGGGAAAAGGTACTTATGACGCAAAGACGTGACAAAAACAGAAACTATCTGATCAGACCGGTTAGTCAACAAATGACTTTCTGCCAGAGTTTTACGGTCAAAACAATCATCAGTCTGGAGATTATATTACACTGACATCACATAAAACAACCATTCTGGTGTAAAAAAATAAACATTTTACAATAAAAAGCTATAGAAATATTAAAACAAGTGAAGAAATGTACAGACCTGGCAGATAAAAGCAAACGCCTGCCTGCCCACCCACTTGGGACAGTGGCAGAACCTGACTGAGAGTTCGTTGATGAAGGTCAGACCAAGTTCATCGGCCCCACATGCATAAAGCTTCTGCAGGATCTCCACTACCTGAGAGCACAAGCGAAAAACAGCTGTCAGTCCACGCTTACGGGGAACAAACAAGCATTTTATGGGAGAGGATTAGGAACACTGGCAGGAAAAAAATTATTCTGATGAGGAAAAAAAAAATAGCTAAAAAAGAAATTCTGAAGAATTTTGAAAAAAATAAGAATTTGAGATTCAAGATTCAAGTCACTTTGTAGGGTTAAGATGGAAAAAACACAATATTGAGGAAAACATACAGAAATCAATAGAGGAAGAAAAAAAAAACCCCAACAAAAATCAGAATTCCCAAAGGAGGAAAAGACAATATCTGTGAGAACCAAGAAATATTGGAAAATAAGAACTCTGAGGAAAAAATAGAGGAAAAATACAGAATTTTCCCAAAAGAATTCAGAATTGTTTTGTCAATTCTTTTTTTTTTCAGAAAAAGATTTAGAGAAAAATAAAATTTTAGAATTAAAATAATTCTAAATTAGAATTTGAAGAAAAAAAAGTCTGAATTTTGAGGTTCAGAGACATCATATTTTTCCCCACAGAAGCTCTAAGGCTCATCTGTAGCTTTCTACAGATAAAAGCTCGATGCAAATTGTTAGAATTTGCAACATAAAATCTGCTGCTCACATAAATATGACCAGTATATCAATAACTGAACATTTTACATCTGAAATTTATTTTCTCCTAAAATACTTTTCAAACTCTCCCGCGAACTCACCAGTTTATAGGAGATCCACCTGACCTCTGACACTTTGTCAGAGCAAAGCGTGAGTGCTATCTGTCTGAGGTAGTCGTAGACGTCGTAGTGGCTGTACAACTCTATGATTAGGATCAGCTGCCTGGAGGGAAACACAGACAAAAGGTAAATATAGTCAACTAAAAAGTAAAAGGAACAGCATATTATGACAAATAATAAAACATAAATCAAGGCAAACTTACTCTGCCAGCTCATATCTGAATCTCCAGTTGCGACTGTTGTCCGTCACCATGAACTCCTGCAACTGGTACAGATACTCCCTCCTCTTGTCTGCATGCAGCAGCTGCAGGAAGTACAAACCAGCTTCGTTAGCAAAGATTTAATGGGTTCTTTGCACCAATTTTCCATCAGTTGAACCAGAGATGTTACCTTCAGGAAGTCGTACAGGTGTTTAAGCACACCGATGCGAACCTCGTCCAGGTCTTTGAGGAAACCGTTGAAGATGGGCACCAGATCTGCTGCCGTCAGCTGATCGCCGAGAATGACTGC